CCGGTACAATGTGTCCATCTGTGATTTTAAGAGGTTGTGCTGGAAGAGATTCTCCATTGACATACAGTCCTACAGTGGTTAGATCAAAAGTTGAAAGAAGAAGGGGTTCTGCTCATAGTCACCATTCAGTGCTTTTGAGGATAGGAGACATATCACCACTTTGTTTGGACAACAGTTCTGAAATATTTGGTCCCAAGTAAAACTGAGTTGTCCTTGAGGGATGGAGGCTACTCGGAGATCTGTTTTGATGTAGGGGTACACTGCATTTTCTGTGGCCAAGATGTGAGCATGTCCTGTGATGATAGAAGCGGTGGGTCGTATCTTACAAAGTCGGAGATAGACATCTTCCAGTATAATCTTGAATTTCTTATTGCTCACACCACTGATGATATTAAACTCAGGTTTACTAGGATAGAGTTTAATTTGCATATTGACTCCATTGATGAGAAACTTGTCACATTCCATGACATCTTCGTAGAGAGGTCCACACATGTCAACTGACTTGCTGAGCTCTGTATGAGAACCTCTTGAAATCAGTCCTCCATTGGTCCCACTATATGAATCAGTACTGTTGACATCCTCAACGTCCCTGTAGAAAAGTTGACTGGTACAGTAAGCTTCTTCCCCTGTGGTCCCTGTTCTCATAAGAAGTTTCAAATAGCTTTTATATGGATAGAGATGGGTGGCTGAGGTCACCAGTTTTCCATTTAGGGTGATGTCTACTTGAGACCACAAGGATTGTAGCCATAGGTTCGCTGGAGCAACATGTTCCTTCTGTACCAGAGATGTGCCATCTGTGTGCATAATTTTCGCTGTGACATGCAGGGTGGTTCGTTTCAAGTCTGTATAATCCATATTCTGACCACTAATGTTGAATTCAACAGGGCTGCTATCGGTGGTGATTTGAGAAGTCGGTCTCATTTCCAAAAAGTACATTTTATCTATCCCAGTCATGAAGGAAGGTCGGGTAAACACATCCAGCTCACTGATAGAGCTCGATTTGAAAGGGGCTGATGGGTTATTGCAAGACATGATGATGATCACAAAATGGAGCCTGGTAGGAAAGCGTGTGCACTGTACAACAGCTTCTGCTAGACTGGCAGATTTTGTGTTAGAGTACCACTTATATATGGATGAGTTTATTTTCTTCTTTTCGTCAGTTTGTCCAGGTTATCTGGACTTCTATTATTATTATTATTTGTTTTTCCTCTCCTCATCTTCTTCTGTTTGGTTTTCGTGTTTTTCTTCTGTTTGGTTTTCGTGTTTTTCTTCTTTGTTTTCCTTGTGACCCCTTTACCTTGTTGATGTGTTTTCTTCATACGTGCCTTAGCCTGTTGAACCACTTGCTGGGTGGGAGACGTGAGAGCAAACTTGTCTGTAGAATGGGGTAGGTCTATCTTGACCCCTTGTTTCTCATAATAGATCACATAATCATCCACGTTATTAAAGGGATTGGGATATCCTTTAGCCTGCAAATAGTAATATTTGGTCCATTTCTTAGGATCGTCCAAATAGGGTCTCCAGTATCTTCTGTTCATGTTCTTGTTCAGAATGAATACTGACTCTCGGGCAGTGGTTTCAGATGAAGTGTCACTATCACTGGTCCCGTGATAAATGAAGCTAAATCACCGTTCCTGTCCTTTATATAGAGGTCTACATTCTGTACATCTTTCAGTTTGACGGGTACATAATGGCACTGAGGAAAAACGAATGTCCGTTCTCTTTTGTTTCCAATCAGACAAACATATCTCAACACAGGTAACTCCGAATCACCCACATGAGAGGTGTCACAGAGGGATGAACAGATGTAGATATCCCGATATTCTGATTTCTCTTTAGCAGTCCAGTTACATAAGGTAATGTCAGTCAGTCCTACGAGCCAATGGTTGTCCAAGTGAAGGGGTTTATTCAAGTTGACATTAAACTGATAGGGTTTATTATCAGGATAAAAGGTCTCCTTACTATCCGTACTTCGTACTGTCAAATACTTATCCATGTTTAGATTTAATCTTGGGGTTGGGAAGGAGATATCCCAGACTCGAACTGAGAAGTGCGGTCCAAAGGTTGGAGTTTCCCCGGGCTAAGGACAAATTGACAATACACGTAATGACTACGATGTAAATAATGATGATTTGAGAGAAAAAGACTGTTTCTGTTTTGGCTACTTTTCGACCTAGTAATGTCCAACTTTCACCAGACCTACTGCGTGAGAGAGGTTGTGCCTCTATGGTGTCTTCCATACCAAAATGAGTCCAACTCTGGTTTCATTTCTATTTATACCTTCTCATAATCCTTTACACTGACCTCAGGGATCCAACTATTGTACTTTTTCGGCCAATGAAGCCATTTCACTAAGACTTCTTTTTGTTTATTTCTGGTCCTCTTTTTGACAATGTCTTGAATTCTATACACCTGATCAGGGTTTTCTACCACTGCTTGGAGCTCTGATGAATAAAAAGCACCTTCGATGGGATCGCCACCCCAATCTTTCAGCTTGTACATGTCATTGTCTTGTGACCAGTATCTTCTTCTTACTGTAAAGATTTCGCCAGACCATTTCTCTTGATACTCTCTGTCAAACGTTCTCTTCAGATGACTCACTCTGACTTTATCACCCACCTTGAAGGTGAACTTCTTTTTGCTCTGTTTCATTTTGGAGGGTTTAATCAAATACTGAGAGAGTCTCACTTCATTTTCATTTTTCTCAGTCACACTCGCAGGAGACTGTCCTAACATTCTGTGTTTGGTATGGTTGTAACTCTTGACTACATCTGGTAAGATATCCACATATCTGTATTTAAAGTGTTTCAACATGTATCGGTACAGTCTCATTTTAATGGTTTTTATCACTCTCTCAGCATAAGGAGCCTTGGTTTCATTCAGTGTAAATAGTTGGGTTATCTTGTGTTTTTTCAAAAAGGCTTTTACCCACCGATTCTTAAATTCTGAACCCATGTCAGATTGAAAAAGTTTAGGCTTTCGGGTGTTGGTTTTCCATAAGTTGGTCAATGCTTTCACTACTTCTTGACCCTTTGTAGACATGAGTGGAAGTACCCACAAATAACGTGAAAATAGATCTATGATGACTAAGAGGTATTTGACCCCATCATTGTACTTTGCTAGTGAAACCATGTCCATGAGATCGGACTGCCAATGACTGTCTAAACCTTCCACCACATAGTGCCCTCTTGGAAACGTTCTTCTGACTTGATGAGTCATGGTATAGTTCTCCTGACCTTTGAGCCATTTCTTGATTCGATGTAAACCAATTTTAAACTGACCCTCTGCTTTCACAGCATCGTACAATTTCTTGGGTCCAGCATAACTACCAGGATGTTCTGGATCATAATAGATCCTATTCAAGTAGTCTTCCCAAGGTGCCATCTTAAACACAACTGTACATGACTCACATGCATCATGCTATTTAAGCAAAACCCAAGACAAAAGTACAATGCAATATTTTATTCACAAAAGACAATATTCACAACATCAACTTTTCACGGACGTGCATTAACGTTTTTCCCAACTTGTTTTCCCCCGGCCATTTCCAGGGTTTGTCAATATCAGGATGGGATACATCAATTCCTATTCCCCATCTTTTATCAAATGGGCTAGCTTCAGCTAACGGCTTAGGATAGGATTGAATCAATACGTGTTTCAAGTGACTGTTCTGGGAGAATTTAGCCATTACAGCCTTAGTCATCACATTAACACAGACAGTGTCCCACGCTTTCTGGGTGAATCCTTTCACACATCTCCCAAGACGCTTTTGCTTTGCTGGCGAAGTCTCTTGGAAAATACATGTTGCCCTGTCCAAATCTCCAAAGTACAATGCTTTAGAGTACATGTAACACTGTTCCACACAATTAAATGTAACACCATCCAAAGTAAACACAGCTGGATAAAAGTTGCTGAATGGTGACTTGTAACCATAGAAGAATAGTCAGTTACTCCAACATTCATAGTCATTAGGGTTGCAGAAGGAACACTGGAGGTACCCCATTTGATTCTGGTGATCTTCTTGTGCCATACAGGGAACCATGTCCTTTAGTTCCGGCACAAAGTCTGGCATGACATCATAACAGTCTCTCAATTTCTTCCACTGGTCTGGAGACAACATGATACCCTTAGCCGTAGGTACCACTCCCAGTTGATCATTTTTCTCCCACTGTCGTAGATCCACGCTACCATTTGGATCCAAACTGGCATACACGTTAACCCCTATGTGAACATAGGCTTGATTTCTTCCTTCCCCGACAGCTTCCATCAATTGTATGAATACACTTGGTATTTCTAACCAGTGTTTCAAGGTAAGCACGATGCCTCGCTTGGTTGGGTAGGCCTTGCCACTCGGGTACACTTCGTACTTCCTCACATGAATGTTCAGTACACCATCCCATGTCTTGGCCGTCACAAAGACGTTGTCCCCGAGATGTAAATGACAACGGGGATCCCGTAGTTCTGTCATCTGCTTGTCAGTCTCTAGCCCCAACAATGCCATGGCTTGTGTCTCCCTACATTCCATCAACGCTTTGCAGAAGAGAGTGTAAGCTTGGGGTCCCCGTCTAGGTAACATGGACAGCAGTTCTCTGACCCGATCGAAGGACGTCTGTGGTTTTTCGATAATCTCTGCCTTCATGAGGATGGTAAGGACTTCAAACTGTACCAGTTTGTCCACCACCTCTTCTACACACTGTATAGCTTGCACTAGACCACAACGATTCCTCCTCAGGATATCACGGTGAGCGGCTTCCATTTTCTATCTTCGAGGTAAACGGCTACCAGAACCAATAGAGTCAAGAGCATGCGTGAGTTCTCTCTGGCGATTGAAGTCTGAATGACATGGAGGACTGTTCGGGGGACCTTATATTACCCACCAGAGTCTAAAAATACCCCTGGGAAAGTAGTTTATCCCAAGGTCAGCTCAGTACAAGGTCATGGACACCCTCTGTGAAATGAGGTCAGCCAGGTGGTCGATGATGACGTCATTTTTCGTCTATGCTTTACAACGAGACACATGAAAGTCACTTCCAAGAGAGTAAGCATCGGCATGGAATATTTTTATTTTGCGTGTTCTTTATGTTGAGAAAAAGTAGTCATAAGTAGTCAAAATGTGATGTTTCAATGACTTTGTTTCGTACAAAATGGTCTATATTAGTGGAATAGCTGATGAATTGCTATATATGCGGAAAAGCTTGGAAATGTAGTATATATTTATAACATATACAACATATATATGACATTTACCATCACCGCCCGTGTAATAACCTGGATGGAGGACTAGGCCGATGTGGTGTGTATTTATATATACAGTAATCTTGTGTTGTATTAGCAGTGTAGTGGACTAGGCCGATGTGGTGTGTATGTATATATACAGTAATCTTGTGTTGTATCAGCAGTGTAGTGGACTAGGCCGATGTGGTGTGTATGTATATATACAGTAATCTTGTGTTGTATTAGCAGTGTAGTGGACTAGGCCGATGTGGTGTGTATGTATATATACAGTAATCTTGTGTTGTATTAGCAGTGTAGTGGACTAGGCCGATGTGGTGTGTATGTATATATACAGTAATCTTGTATTGTATTAGCAGTGTAGTGGACTACTGACTGACTGACTGAGTTTGGTTTTACGCCGCTTTTAGCAATATTCCAGCAACATCACGGCGGGGGACACCAAAAATGGGCTTCACACATTGTGCCCATGTGGGGATTCGACCCCGTGTCTTCGGCGTAACGAGCCAATGCTTTAACCACTAGGCTACCCCACCGCCCCGTGTAGTGGACTAGGTCGGTGTGGTGTGTATGTATATATATAGTAACCTTGTGTTGTATTAGCAGTGTAGTGGACCAGGCCGATGTGGTGTGTATGTATATATACAGTAATCTTGTGTTGTATCAGCAGTGTAGTGGACTAGGCCGATGTGGTGTGTATGTATATATACAGTAATCTTGTGTTGTATTAGCAGTGTAGTGGACCAGGCCGATGTGGTGTGTATGTATATATACAGTAATCTTGTGTTGTATTAGCAGTGTAGTGGACTAGGCCGATGTGGTGTGTATGTATATATACAGTAATCTTGTGTTGTATTAGCAGTGTAGTGGACTAGGCCGATGTGGTGTGTATGTATATATACAGTAACCTTGTGTTGTATAAGCAGTGTAGTGGAGTAGTAGAGTATAACTATATAGGTCATTGATAACCTACATGACGCAACTGATACGTCGTGCCAGAGGACCTAAAAGTACTCAACTAACGTTGTTGTCTCCTGGTAATACAAGCATTTGTGTTTTCAGCTGACCACGTCACTTGGAAAAAGATCGTCGATTGCTCAGGTCATCCTACAGTTGGCAGTGTTACACATACACATTGAAGGGCGGTGGGGTAGTCTAATGGTTAAAGCGTTGACTCGTCACGCCGAAGACCCGGGTTCGAATCCCCACATGGGTACAATGAGTGAAGCCCATTTCTGGTGTCCCCCGCCGTGTTATTGCTGGAATATTGCTAAAAGCGGCGTAAAACCAAACTCAGTCAGTCAGGCATACACATTGAGTCTCACATTCCCATTTGCTGCAGTTCTGTTAAATGAATGGAAGGAACGTAGTGTGGCGTTCCGGTAGAAAAGAAGTGTGTTAGGTTTGTCTGTTGCCTAACGCTGCGCGGGAGTTGCATGGTGGCAGTATACACAATCTAATCTAATGATATCCAGTGACGAACATCATCAGCATCGATACACGTAATTGGGATACGATGACCAAGTCACCAAGCCCGATACAGTTAGTCGCCTCAAACGACTCAAGTTAGACCTCTAGTTGGGACCTGTATTCTTACCCGCAGTCTCTGGGGGTGATGTCTGAAAGGGAAGCACGTCATGTTAATGAGAAGGACACGGGCTGTTCGTTCTATGCGTTGTTGGTGCTCAGCCGCAGTGCAAGTGTTAGTGCAAGAAACATATATGTTAAAAGCAGGTGTAACACGCTGAAGGGTATGTAGTGGAACATCTGCGAATAAGAAGTTGTTCCTAAGATCCATATATATTTGTTTGTTGTTGTTTTGGGGTTTTTTGTTTTGTTTTTATTAGTAGTTGCACAGGGCAATAATCAAACACCGTACAGCGGATTGTAACCACTCGAAAACATCGATGTCATCACTTTTCTCAGTGGTCCATTTCCATAATTGTCACAGTGACCTTGCCCTTTTCACCAAGTGGAGTCGGAAGATATTCAAGACCGGTTACTACACTGGCATTTTCTGTTTTACAGAAATGAATTTACACAACGTCCACATAAAGTGTACATAACCACCTTTTCAGCGGCCATCTCCTAATCTTTAACCAACATATGATCAGCTCCCACCATTAAACGAGCCATCGTCCAACTTGATTTCACAGAATGTCTTCTAAAGTGTTTGAACTGTTCGTTCCTTCTGTAGTATTAACATCAGCCAGGTCATTCACGTCAATCAACCGGTTTGTCTGCACCTCTGCACGGCTCTAGGCAACCTGCATAACACAAAGACAACAGCTATTTTTTGGACGTATGTGACACAATCATTTTCACTGCCAACGTAGATAAGGAAAGCATTGCAAGGTGTATTATACAACGCCCAACAATATCATGAGGCCACATTGATCGTTGTATCGTCCTCAGAAAAAGGTAACTCGACATCCAAAATTTCGCAGTCCCTAAAACATAAGCTATACTTTCGGTACCATGTGCATTACTTAAACCATCATGAACCGCAGTAATCGAACATCTGCATTTGTTAACCTATACAGGTATATTTCAATGAATAGCATTTGCCGTCTTATAAATTGACTGTAAATTGAACCGCTGATTAACCAGTTAAAATCGAGACACGTGATAATGTGTTAAGACACTCACTTCCCCTGCTTCAGTAAACAGAGACAGAGACCGAGAACAAGGATGAGTATCACGCCAACCATGATGGCGACACAAATATCGAGAACACTGATATTGGCAGGGTAAACGCGACACGACACAGGAACCTGCCTCTTTAATACTGAAAAAAAAATAAGAACGAAACGTTTGATTGTAAACAGCAAAGATATAGTACAAACACACAGGAAATACGTATACACATCGGGTAATAATGGATATTACATGTGGGTAAATCTCATGACGTTTATCTAGAGTACAAGCGACTAATGTCAAGGACAAAAGCGATTATATTGCACAGTGGTTAGAGCAGTACTTGCAGGCGAGCTTCCATTTCAATGTGGTGCAAGTATACTAAGATAATTAAGTGAATCATCCATCTTGTGTTGTCACCAACTAATTGTTAAAATAATTGGCAAAACTGAATTGACTCATTGAAATCTTCATGCCAAATTTATACAAATAAAAACGTTCAGATAGACAAATGTTCTGGTTGTGAATCATGGAAACATCCTGTTGTCTTTAACAATAATCGGCTCCCAAAGTTCGTCGTAATGAATAATGTGAGCACTGGAGGTATGTCAACGTTTCAAACCGCAGCATTACTTGATATTTGATATTTGTTACACATGTATGTAAAGGGTGGATCGAATAGATTCAGATCCTCTGACAGAGAAAGGAAGGTTATGTGATTGATCATATTCCTGTATGCCCTGTCAAGTGAGTGCTGTCCACTCGGTAACAGGGAGGCTTTCACCTACTACCTGTATAGTCATTCGAAGAAAACATAATACACGCATTTCCAGCATTATCAGCCTATCTCAAATTCGCAGGGCTTTTACATTATTACTGCCAAGCTTTAAGTTAGACAAGTCCTTTATCAATCTGAAATGCCATGGTAACCTTAATACGTTCTACCTTGCCACACCAAGAGATCTATGTAGTTTCAAAAAAACTAAAAAGCTATTTTTGTTACCTTGGATACAGTCTTCCCCCGTCCATCCCGACTTACATCCTGCCTCACACCGACCAGTGTCCCGAGGACAGGGGACTAACCCTCCCTCACACATCCGGGCACTGCAGTTACCCACACAGTTAGCGCCGTATTCCATTCCTTGAACACATTCTGTCAACAGTGAAGAGCATATCATGTAGCAAGTACATCTTTTGATCTGAGAGAAAGGCACATATCCCGCCGTGAAACATTTCAGCTGAGGACAAACTCTCTCACCTTGTGTGCAGTCCGCGGCGGACCATCCAGTTCTACATCCACCAACACGCCTGCCTTGTTTGACATCACAGCTGGAGTTCAGCTTACACTGGCGGTCCGCGCACGACTTCATACATCTGGCTCCATATCGCTGTCCTACTCCACACTCGTTTCCTGCTGGAAATGTCATGACACCCGGTGCTTGAAATAAAGCAGAATAGAACTCAGTGTATTCCGTAACAGATGACTTAACAGTGACATAAATACAGATTGTCGCTTAGAAAGGGGTCAAAAGTAAAATATGTTATATTTATTTGGGATGTTGTTCAGTAAACATGTTCTGGTACGATTATCGGACGTTTGGGGTTGAGGGCTATAAGTCAATCATTTAATCGTCATCAAACAAAGTCAGTAGACTCACCCAGCGAAAATAGCTCTTACGAAAGGGAAATATGTCACCTGACAGTCTACAAGAGTGAGTGAGTATATTTTTAAGCCGCTTTTAGCAATATTCCAGCAACATGACATCGAGGTACACCAGTGATGGACTTGAAATATTGTCTTGAGAACGACAAAATAGGGTGACTGTAAAACAAGAGCCAGGGCCGAAAGCGAGCACCAACTTGAACAAAGCAATCTTAGCATAGAGACCATTATTGGAATTGTTAAAGTGGTGTTAGTGGTATTGCCAGTTTGTGAAGGTGGGTTCTAAATTTTACCTCTGTCTTGTGCTCCTGACCAAACAGTCCACCAGAAATTGGCTTCACATAATGTACCAAGGGGTGGAATCAAACCGTGACGAAGCGCGACGAGCAAACGCTTTAACCACTAGGCTACCTCATCGTCCCTAGTCTAGAAGACGTTAGTTTGGTATGGATACAGTATGGGTTCGAATCCCGAACCGGGCTCAACTAAATAAGTACAGGAATCTGTACTTTACTGATAAAGTGTAAGCCATAACGTATGGTATCCATGGCCAGCCGATCGGGTTTCTTCTGAAGTTCTCTCTGCGACGACTTATACATTTCAGTACGCCTTATTTGTTGTATATATTTGGTACGGATCAGATGACTTAACTAAAGTTTGAATTGGAATGCATTCTAGTGAACCTGACTACCCTGCTTGTAATACTGGGTTAATCACACTTTAGTAATTAGCATGTCAGAGAAACCTTACTCAACATAGCTGGCGTCGTAGTCGTAGTCGGTGCTGTAGCCGGTGGTGCCGTCTGTGTGGCACTCTGCTGGTAATCTTCACTTGTCTCGATGTTCGTCACCCACACCTGCACCTCGGCAAAGTTAAGGATTGGATCATGTCTATCATTTGCCTTCTCTGTGTAGACAGTCAGGTAGCGCCAGATCCCAGGACAGGTGACGTTCAGGACGTCGGGGATGTCGGTCCCATCTCTGCGTCCTCTGACACTGTAGCATAGATTCCCCTCTTTTGGGGAAGATGAATTTCTTAGAGACGTATACAGCTGTATACCGTCACGTCGACCCTTGTCTGGAAAGAAATACATCAGGGATATACCGACAGGAACAACATCCCCTGAATTACTGACTATCATGGAAGAAAGTTAATAAACACAAAGAATATGTTTTGGGGGTGTTTTTTGAAACAGAACAATATTTTGATGTCAATGAAGCACGAGCTGATCATGGGCGTGACTGTCCTCGTGAAATTCAATGCCAGTATAATTACAGTGAAAGCCTAAATAGCAGTGATAATAGCAATAAACTACAGTGATAATACTGTTCACCCAGCGGACAAGGTTGCAAAACATCCCTAGGGTGGACACCGAGGCTGATATTATGATCTGTCACACAACTACTGCTTTTGATGTAACATTAGACGACCGAGCCGTGCCCCTGTCCCCTACATAGTCTTAAATATCCTCAAGAAATGTATATGCCACGCTAGATAAAACTATGCGGTCCCAGTAGCATCCATATGACTATTGCCCCCTATACCATCTACCGTACACTAGCATGTCACGTCCCTCTGCTGATCCTGACAGTTACAATGTAACACAACTACGATATTGATCTAGAACAAATAAAACTGCCATGTAACACTATGCCTTCAGTTACATCATGAACAATGATTCCTGATGTTACTGATGCATGTGTGTACCGTCCATACCTTTGGTGACTTAAACTGGTGATGTATGAATATTGTGTACTTGTACTGACCTCATAACAGTGACAATACTTTTACCGACTTCGAGTATACAGAACCTCAGTGACCATGACCCTACATTTGTATGATACACTGGCAACGTTTGTTTGTTGTTTTGCAGCTAGAGGGCTGCGGGCTGCGGGCTGCGGGCTGCGGGCCGTAAGTAATCAGTTCTGCATTTTGTGACCAGAAACTGCCTAACGATATCATTCATTGCTTCCATTTCATATATGCAAAAACATTTACTAAGTACAGTTCTCTTGTCAACATTTCGGTACTTACAGCTCATCCGGAAATAGATATTAACTTGAGGTGATGATACCACTGTCTGTAGGTCCACCTTCCACCAAGCTGTTTGCTGGTTGATATCAGTGTGGATATTTTTTACCCAGTTAAATGGATGTATAGCTCCATCAACCGCTTTACTGGCAGAGATGTTTCGGTAGGATGTGCTCATCCAAGCTGGTTTGTTCAGAGCAATGTTTTTCCTTTTACCTGTGACGGTAATTTTGCCTAAGAATGAAAAGATGAATTCAGGATAAATGAAACATCAGGAATGGTTATGGCATCGTCGTTAAGTGGTCAGCGTGTCAATCTGGATGCGACAAGCAGCCAGGGACTGCAGTTCATATTTATATATCTTTTTTTTGTGATTATTAAGCAAATATTTGCACTATGACAATACCACCCTGTCACAAGAAGCTTTTGTCCTCAAAAGCAAATAATGATATTTAAGAATATTCTCTATGATAATACAAACATACCATTTTGTATGGAACCACATTGATTAGGTTCTTGTGTGCAACAATAATGATACAGAGCAACATAATACATTTCAAAGGAATATATATCAATGTATCCAGAAGAAACACATCATAGAAAACAGGACCTAGAGATTTTCGAAGCTCTCATAGTGTTTAGATAGTCATTAACATTAACTTACGACTATCTTAGCTCCAGGAGAGCTTCGAAAATCTAGGCCCTTGGTGAGAGATGAGGATGTAACAAAAGGCTCAGAGAGTAAGACGTTTACGTCATGCCATAAATGGTGATACTCGTAATGAAAGGGGAATGTTAAAGTGAGTGAGTGAGTTAATATTTATCGTCACATCGGCAATATTTCAGTCATATCGTGACGAAAACATTTTACAATTATGTTAAAGATAAATAAAGTTATAAATTAAAAAACCTGTACAAAGGAAGTAAAAGTACTAGTGTATCACAGATATCCATTTAAAACTAGCAATTATTAGAACTATAAATGACAACACAATAGAAAAACAGGTTATAGATTGCCAACGACTGAAGGTAAATCACCATACCGGGGACCATGGGGACTTACAGTACATTTGCTTCCTGCATGGACCCTAGCTGGATTTACACCATCCCCTCAGCCGTTAGCAACGTAGACAAATCTAGCCATACATTTAAAACACACACATTTAAAACTTTACACACACTATCTCTACGATTAAAAAATAGCAATAATTAAATGACAACTTATATTACTAAAAAATCGAGTTCGTGAGAAATGAATGTTTCAACACAGTCAGGACACTTATTTCATCACAAGGGATACGTATCCTCTTTCAGGAGGATTCATAATTTTGTACAATACTTCGTCGTAACCCTCTTGAGGATACAGCCACTAGGTGTAACCAATATAGGGTTTTATTTCAGTAATTTATTGATAATCGGTCATTGTGTTTCCAGAAATCAGCCAACGTGGCTGTTCCCAGAAATGCCAACGTGGCTGGGTAACCAACAGAAGACGATGTCGTATTGGCCAGTAGCAAGATCATTATATAATTCAATAATTTCGATTAAAAGTGGATGTTTGCAAGAAAGATTTTGTGGAGGCCTGAAGGCAAGAAAGAGAATCTGAAAAGATTATGTATTGTTTATATTTAGGGTGTTTATTAATACATTTTAAGGCTGTTAATATTGCGTTAGCTTCTGCTGTGAAAATAGACCTGTTATCAGGTTATCTAGAAGATATTGTTTTGGAGCCAGTGACAGTGGCACAAGCTACTGAGCCACCATCCTTGGACCCATCTTTATATAAGGATTTGTATGTATTATATTTATTTCTTAATTGACTGAATTCTTGTTTATAATATAATTCAATCTCTGACTTTTTTAAATGTGGTTAATATTAGGTCAATGTGTGGCCTAACCATTTGCCAAGGAGGAGAAGAAAGCAAACAGGAAGGAGAGATATTTTCTAGCTCAATGCCAGCAGCAGAAAGGCAAGGTTTGACTTTTCGCCCCAGAGGTGGAACAAGAGAAGGGTTTTTGTTTTACAGATCCTCAAAAAGAGGATTCAAAACACAGTTAAATGCAGGATTTGACTCATTAGAATATAGTTTTGTTACATACTGCAAGGACAATTTTATGCGGCGTTGTGTAAGAGATGGCCCATCACCCTCGACGTAGAGACTGTCAAGAGGAGAAGTTCGAAAAGACCCAAGACAAAGTCTCAGGCCTTGGTGATGGATAGAATCAAGTAGTTGTAGGTTGCTTTTTCAGGCTCCACCATAGGCAATGGAGCCATAATCAAGTTTGGAACGGACCAGTGATCGATATAGATGGAGGAGGGTAGTTGATCCCCTCCCCACTTAGAATTGGAAACGACTTTCAACAAGTCAAGCGCCTTCAGGCATTTAGTTTTAAGGGATTTAATATGTGGTAGAAACGTTAAGTGTGAGTCAAAAATAATACCCAGGCTTGGCCTCCTTCACAACTTTTATGGGTGTGCCGTTTAGAGATAGTTCCGGGTCTTTATGCGGTTTGTATTTACGGTAGAAATGTATACAATTAGGTTTTGATTTAGAAACTTTCAAGTTGTTTTCAAGACACCATTTATATATTTTGTTTAAACATAATTGTAGTTGCCGTTCAATAGTATGCATATTTTTACCACGACAAGAAATATTAAAATCATCCACAAAAAGTGATCCATCGATTGAATAATTTAAAACCTTGGATAAACTGTTGATCTTCATACTAAATAAAGTAACAGACAAAATACTGCCTTGTGGAACACCCCGATCCTGACTGTAATGCTCAGACAGGGTAGATCCCACGCGGACTTGAAATTGTCTGTCATTTAAAAAGTTAGCTATAAATTGAGGCAAATGGCCTTGCAATCCGAAGCCCTGTAAATCTTTTAAAATGCCATATTGCCACGTAGTGTCATATGCTTTTTCAAGACAAAAAAAGATAGATACAGCCTGGTGTTAATTAATTAGAGCATTTCTAACAAATGATTCCAAACGCACTCACAGCAAAAATAACTTGGTTTCCGCAATGCAGAAACCTGGTGGAAAGTGGACTGAAACTTAAGTTTCCACCTAGAATCCAGTGAGTTTCCGTTCTTTTACATTGAGTTTCCGCAATAACGGAAACTTACTAGTACCCACTTTCTAAGGGTTTCCGCAAGGTTTCCGTTATCCACACTCCAACAGGTTTCTGCAAGGTATCCGTTACCCACACTCCGACAAGTTTCCGTTGAGTTTCTGTTAACTTTGAATCCATCAGGTTTCAGAAAGGCTTCAGTTATAAAAAGACTCCAGCAGGTTTCCGCAGAGTTTCAGTTACCAACAATCTGACATAGTTTCCGCATAGTTTCAGTTACCGGTTTCAATTTCAGGTTCACAGGTTTTCATATGCGTTTCAAAGAGACAAATTTAAACATTATTCTTTATTCATATCATAAACTATTCTTAAAAACAATATAAGCAATTTGTTATTATCATGACATTTACTTAAAGAAAACAGAATATATAATAAGATTCATTGTTTTATTTTCTCAACATGAATATGAATAAGCATTTAAGGCAAACAAAGATCATACATATAACTAGTAATATAGCACTAAAAACAGGGCAAAACATTTTGGCAGAACTCAATCCAGTTTAAGAAATCATATATCATTTATAACAAAGTAGTCATTTTTCATCACTTAAACTTTCATTCACTTATTATTTTGAAATAGCATGTTAGATGAAATTTATTTCTAAAATCATGCTAATGGTGAAAAACAACATTAACATACAACTTAACACAGTAATAAAACATAGCTGAATCGGAAATATATTTGCACGCCTTGGCATTCAGCCACACACGCTATGTCACAACTATCGCCAAACATCGACTATGATATACATCATACAATAACACAACATACAGCTTACAATACAAAAATAAAATAAAATAAAAATTACATTATGAAATTGAAAATAAACTCACTTATATTGCAATTAGGGGCATCCCTGGACGGAGATCCCTCCGGTTGGTTGGATGCCTCATCCTCGTCCTCACTTAGTGATCGACAGTGCTTCTGTTTTTTTACGGAAACCACTTTGTATATCTGTTATAAGGTTATTTGTTTCCAAGTACCAAACAAGTCGATTATTTATCATGCGTTCCATGGTCTTGCAAACGCAGCTAGTAAGTTTAATTGCCTATAATTGGAATGATCAGTATGATCACGTCCAGGTTTTAGAGAAGGAACAATTATAGCATCGCGCCACGACGAAGGAAATTTTCCAGATGTCCAAATATCATCAAAAATAGATAAGAGCGTCTCTAAACGTGATTCAGGAGCTGGTAATGTATGTTATCAGCTCCGGAAGCAGTATCGTGAGCCTGGTCAAGAGCAGTATGAAGCTCGTGGATTGAAAAGGTATTGTTATAATCTTCCCCATTATCTGAATTGAAATTAATAGCTTTCTTTTCTTGCTGTTTTTGATAGTTTTGGAATTCAGGTACATAACTAGATGAGGAGGAATGTTTGGCCAACGTCTCACCAAGTTTATTTGCAATATCTGATTTATCAGCCAATAGCTGATTCCCATCTTTGAGATGGTGTATGCTGGATTTAGAGCCCTTACCCTTGATTTTCTGGATCATATTTCACACCTTTGATATCGGTATGCGCGAAATATTTTTTGAGAAATAGTTTCTGAGAAATAGTTTCGCCAAGATTGGCGTTTACTTTGCTTGAAAGTACGTCGTGCTTTGGCGTTTAAAATTTAAAATTTGTTCAAATTGTGGACCATAGGATGGCGACGTAAATAGTGCTCGGCTTTTTTCCATGCCTTCCTAGCCTGTTTGCATTCATTTTAAAACCATGGTTTTCGTACGTGAGGAATTGCAGAGGACTTTGGGATACACTCGTCAGCTATGAAAAGCATTTTATGGCATCAGGTTTGTCATTAAAAAGTTCAGGATTTAGTTTGTCAGCACAGAGAGTTTCATATAAATGCCAGTTAGCCTTTTTAAAATTCCATCTTAATGATGGAGGAACATCAGATGGATTCATGGGCTTTAGTATTGTTGGGAAATGGTCACTTCCACAGAGGTCGCCGTGGACTGACCATTCGAAATAACTCAGTAGGCTTGAGTCAGTAATAGACAAATCAAGAGCTGAACATGTTCCTGTGACAGGGTGTAAATACGTATTTAAGCCGTCATTATAAATACATAAATCATTGTTTGAAATAAAATCC